CTTTTAAAAATTGACTTTGAAATGAAATAACTGGTTGCAAAATAAATAGGTTATAAATAGATGGGTTATCATAGCTATCTTAACTGCTATTCCCTAGAGGAATAATATGAAACTGTTCCAACACTGCACCAGTGTAAATTATCTTTAAAGGTTGCAGTTTGTTTAGCAAGCTGATAACATAGATTCATTAGGTAAATTCTCTGATATTGGGAAAAAAGTCATTTGGAATAATGATGGGTTTGTGTAATTATCTATATACATGTAAGTATGTACTGAGGAAAGGTGGTTTGCACATTTTCCCAAGGAATTTTTCTCTAGGATTTTCACAAAAGATTATTCTACAGCTATGGCTGAATGTAGGTAAACATCGGGACATTAAAACAAAATAAAATGAACAAAACACTCAACTATGAAATGTATATTTTCCAATCTTACCTAGATTCACATTGCTGTTAGAAAGTAATCCTTTCACAAATTCCTAGTTGATCCCTTTCCTAATTCCCATAGCAATTATTCTAAACCCTTCCTGCCCTTTCCAATTCACATTGCTCAGATCCTGCCTGTTAGTTCTCAAGAGAAAACACAACCAAGGAAGCAAGGAGTGTAGCTGGACCACGTTCCCTCCTAGCTAATTATCTGTGTTTCTGTTGGTATTTGGGTTCTTATTCCATCCCTGTATGCTCTTGGGGAAACTGCTCCGCTTTCAACTCCTTTTGACACCTCTTGTCTCTCTTCCTTCAGTGGTATCTTAGCTCAGCCTACCTGTCGACTCTAGCTTTTCAGAACTCACTGTATTTGAACTTCATGAGCAGTGACACCCTGATGGAGTTTCTCAGATTTCACATGGGTTCGGGAAATCTCATTTCTCCTTGTATCCTTCTCTGTCTGGGGCTGAGGCTGAACTGTCTGCTTTGTCACTCTGCCGGGACTACTCTTATCTCTCTCTTTCTCCCTCTCCTCCTTAATGTTAATTTATCTATATCTGTTCTTGTAGTTTTTCAGTCTTCTTATTCCTCCAGTTCTCTTGCTTCCAGTTTGATCATTTTCCAGAATTTCAGATGTAAATATTTCATGGCTGTTGGATATTTCTTCTTGAATGTCTCCAAAGCTCTCCACACTCAATATTTCAAAAACAGTGGAGAAGTCAGACATTTAGTTCAGATATCAGACTTATGATTTGGGCTATTTATGAAATGGTCAGTGTGATATTTGATATTTCA